TCAGCTACTCACAGCAACCTCAGACTTCTGGGCAAAGCGATCCTCCTGCCTCAGCCTACCAGTAGCTGGGACTACAGGCATGTCCACCATGCCCGGCTAATTTTTCTACATATATATTAGTTGGCCAATTAATTTCTTTCATTTATAGTAGAGATGAGATCTCGCTCTTGCTCAGGCTGGTTTCGAACTCCTGACCTTGAGCAATCTGCCGCCTCGGCCTCCAGAGTGCTAGGATTACAGGCGTGAGCCACCGCGCCCGGCCTGGATGTCCTTTTTGTAATATGCCTACGTTCATGATAAAACTTTAGCAAACATCCTTGCTTTGGTTGCATTGTTCTTTATGAAAGGTTTTTAATTACATATTCAATTTTTTTTTTGTTGAGACAATGTCAACCTAGCTCACAGCAACCTCAAACTCCTGGGCTCAGCCTCCTGAGTAGCTGGAACTACAGGCATGCGCCACCATGCCAGGCATTTTTTTATTAAAATTTGGTTGCTGTGAGTTAGGCTGACACCACGGCACTCACTCTAGCCTGGGCAACAAAGTGAGACTCTGTCTCAAAAAAAAAAAAAAAGGGACATCCAAATAGACTGTAAACATGGGAAAGTGTTTTCTTCTTATTATTCATTAGGGAAATTAAAATTAAAACCATAAAGAAATACCCTTAGGCATTCACCAGAATGACTAAAATGGAAAAAGCTGATAATACAAGTATGGGAGAGATACTTTGATAAGGAAACTACCACACACTGATGGTGTGTACAAATGGGTACAGCCACTTCAGAAAGCTGTTTGGCACTGTCCACTGTGGTTAAACATATGTAGTTTATAATCCTGTGTTTTCACTCTCAAAATATATATAAATTCACACCCAAAAGTCTTGTGCAGAAATGGCATTATTATCTTATACATATTATCAAAAATTGGAAATAAGTGCAATGTTTGTCAATAGTAGGATGGGTGAATAAAGTTATTGTATATAAATATAATGGAATACTCTATAGCAGTGATTCTCAAAGTGTTTCTTCCTTCTCCTTACTAGTAATATTAGCATTACCTGGGAACTTTTTAGAAATGAAAGTTCTAAGTACTTTGTATCTACTTGTACAGAAATTCTGGGAATGGGGCCTAACAGTCTGTATTTTAACAAGCAAGTCATGTGATTCTGTTGAACATTAAAGTTTAGAATTAATGCTTTGTAGCAGCGTTTGGCATTTTTCTGTAAAGGGCAAGAAAAGTCTTTTAGATTTATTGGGCCATGTGGTCTCAACTTTGCTGTTACATTGAGAAACAGGCATAGAAGATATATAAATGAGTGTGTTGTTTCACAATGTCTATCCTGTAGCTGTTAAAATCAATGAACTACAGGTGTGTCCAGCAAAATGGATGTGTCTCTGAAACATTAGTTGAATAAAAATCAAAAAGACAAAAAGGATATGTATGTGACTCTGTTTAGATCATATTTATAAACAAATGAATCTTACCAATTGTATTAGAAGCTTTGGGCAAGAGGGTTTGGGGTGGTCATTGAGAAGAGGGGATGAAGAGAACTTTTGGATTTCTAGTAAAGGCTGCAAAAATCATTATGCTCATGCTATCTGGGATACTTATTATCCATGCTGCAAAAAAGAAGAGCTGGGGAAGGGGGTAGGAGGATCCTTTCTTACTGCTGTCTGTGGATGACCTTTATATAATGATTTCTTGTGAAATTGTTAATTAAAAGGAAAGAATTAAGAATTTACCTCTCCTAATTTGAGTAACTGTAGTTTATTGTAGGGTCCATTCTTCTTTACAGGACAATAAGAAATATACTAGGAATGGTAGAATTACAAAATCACTGTTGTGCAAAACCACCATATTTGCAGATTATTAATTTATTTGTGCAAATATTATCAGTGAAGGCTAAAACTGTTAGATAAACATTATCTTACCTAGGACCTAAATATCATTGCAGTATAGAAATGTATCTCTTTTACATTCTCAGGTGCATCTCTGTAAAAAAAATCTGAAAAGTAAAAGCATCAAAGGGATGAATAAAAGACTATTTCGAAGTATAAAAAAGAGTAAGAAAAACAATGGGTGCAAAAAAAAAAATGGGCGCATCATAAGAGTGTTGTACATAGTTGCTCAAGACCTGAGTTTTGAGTTTTTTAACCTTGGAATTTGAAAGCTTTTCTTTTTAAAAAAATGTTCTAAGGATTTTATTTTGTGGAAGTTAAATGTATATGAATTCCATATGAATTATATCACTTGTCACTGCCCACTTTTCCCAGAAATTGTTTCATTAAATTCATTGTTGATGATCCTACAAATATAGGCCTTTTTCATGGCTTAGAGTCATGTGGGAGAGATTAGGTTTCTTCATAGTATATTTTTCCTTAGTAGAGTTATCAGACAGACAGTGTGGTTAAAACAAATCCAGCCCCAATTTTGATTAGAGTGGTGTCAGATGTAGAATTCTAACCAAAAAATTTAGTTGCATGTACTTTTTAAAGAAGTCAATTTATACATTTATATACATTGTATCAAGATTTGTACAACTGAAGTTATACAGCCTTTTATTGTATAATGGTAAAAAAAAGACTTTTTCTTTTAAGCATGGCAGAAGCTTTTTTAGTCTGTATTATCATATGCCTATTATTTTCTGCAAGATGAATAAATTATTATTTTTATATTTGGCTTTCCTAGGAGGAATATAGAACTGAAGGTATTAGCTGGCATAACATAGATTACATTGATAATACCTGTTGCATAAATCTTATTAGCAAAAAACCGACAGGACTGCTCCATCTTTTGGATGAAGAAAGCAAGTGAGTATGATTGTTTTCAATTTTATTATTGGCCATTTGGGCTCCTCATCTCTTTTAAGTTTAAACTTTGTTATTACATTATCAAATAAAGAGCCGTAGGGTTCCTTGTGTGTAATTTTTAAAATGTGTTTCTAGGTAAATAGGATGGACTTCACTATTTGAACTCATTTTTTCCCTTAAACTTTGATGTTAAATTTGTTGATATATATTTATTATTAGGGTACATGTTCTTTTCTTCTTGCATTGAGTTTATATGAGATATGATTGCAGTTTTCATGTTTAGCAGAAAAGAATATCATGATAGATTAGTTATGTCTGCCTTGACTGTACAAGGGTAAGTGGCAATGTATACCAAAATTAAACATAAGCTTCAGAAATAATGCTTCATTTAACATCCTCCAGAATAGTCACAGCAGTGTATAAGATATTATTTAGAGTTAAATTATCCTAAGAATTGGCTAATCTAGAATTGGAGAAACTGAAATGAGGAGATTGTTTTTTTTTATGACTCTTTGATAAAAAAATTTAGAAATTGAATTAGTTTAACTGAATCCTAGTTTAATATTATACTCATTAAATTAGGATAGAAAATATTGGGGATTTACTATCACAGGTAGATGACTGTATATCAGATTTTTGTGGAACAATCTAGAGTTTATGTCTGCTGTCCAGTTTAGTCATTAAAAGTAAATCTTTTACTCTCAGAAATAACCTGTTTTATATGATAATTTGTATATCACCCTATTAATATGCCATAAACACAGAATTGCTACATACATACACAAGATAAGATGGCAGAATGAAAAATATAGCAGAAAGACTGCTAACAATTAAGTCTAGTATCATGTAACTAACTTTATCACTAGTCTATTCCCATGAAATGAATTAAGATACAGCTAACACAAAAAATACTTTTTTTGTCTGGAGTTTGGCAGAGTTTATCATATTACGCTATATGCCCTAAAACAGGCGTCCTCAAACTATGGCCCGCGGGCCACATGCAGGCCGCCTAGCATATTTATCCGGCCCTCTAGGTGTTTTTGCCCCTGCTGCCTGTCCTGTGTAGCAGCCAACTCATCCCAGGCCCACAGTGTGTACTCTCCAACGGTCTGAGGGACAGTGAACTGGCCCCCTGTTTAAAAAGTTTAAGGACTCCTGCCCTAAAAAATATATTATCTCTTATAAAATGTTAAGGTTAGTGGTTCTTAACTCTGTATACCTTACTTCTAGTTTGTCTTTTTTTGAGAATAGCTTCACAGGTGATTTTGATATTCAGTGTTGAGAACCATCATGGTTGATAATGAAATGACATGCAGTTCTTTTTGTTTGAAGCATTTTATGCTAGCAAAAATCTAAGCAAATTTAAGGAAAAGATCATATAGGTAGTGGGCTTGAGATTCAAACCCTCTAAGTATTTCTGATAAATAAGCTTGTGCTTTGAAGAATTGTTTTATTTGCTTCCCTGTAATACGTAGGTGTTAGAGTCAGAAGTCCAGGGTTTTTATCCTGTCTCAATTAACTATCCTTGGCCAATCTCTTAATATCCTTTGTCCTCAGTTTTCTGTACAAAAAGGAAATGATGATAAATGATGATATTATTTGCAATATATCTTAAGGTGTTTGTAAACAGCAATTGAGTTAGTGGATATATAACTAAAACATGAATAGCACAAGGGATTCATCTCTATCCTGTCATTCTTAGGCAAATTTCATTGAATGCGCATCTAATTATACAAAGACTATATTTTCCTTGCCATTTGCTACCTTATGTAGATATAGCCTTGTGAAGAGAAAGTTACCTCTTTGCTATTAATGCAAAGGCTTATGGGGTTAAGCCCTGTAATTTCAGGGAGACATATTTTAGCTCAATAAAAGGAAGAACATTAGAGCTGATTAGCAATTGCTTCAAAAATCAATACAGTTCTCTATTATAATAATTATTTTGTATCATTTGTCAGGGCATTGTTGTTGGTAGGAGACTGGACTGAGTAACTTTTTAATCATTCATCCCTTCAGTTATGTTTCTATATTCAGTTCTCTATAAAAGTCTCTAATAAGCTGTAATATTCCTCACTTTATAAGTCAGTCCTATAGTTACTACCTCTCTTTGTTAACGGACCATCATTGCCATATAGGGGAAAATTTTTTCTCATCCCTTTTAGGGTCTCCAGGAGTTAAGAATTAAACTGACGTAAGACACATTAACAGGCAAAAGCATATAAGTTTTATTAGAATTTTACATGTACATGAGAATGTACATGTAAACTTGAAACATGTTCAAGTGAACATGTTCACTTGAAAATGAAGACCTGATGAAGTAACCAGAGTGGAAAACTTATATTCCTTTTAGACAAATGATAAATTTATGGAGAAATGACAAGACAAAGAGGTTTGGTGTATGTATGGGAAATAAATTGTGGGGAAGTAACTATGATAATATTGAGAAAAACTAGTGGAAGATAAGATGATAATTTTGAGAAAAACTAGTGGAATATAAGTAACTATGATAATTTTGAGAAAAACTAGTTGAAAGTAAAGGTTATTTTAGTAAGTTAGTTTGTATAGATCCATATCAGTGTTGATTTCCAATCTGTGGGGATAAAAATGTTCTTTTCTTCCCAGTACAGGGAAGGCATCTTTCTCATGGGGAATTTTATGGCCTGTTTTTAGGTAGAAAAGAGGAGGACAGAAGCCCTTCCTGCATCTACTATTTCTCATGCACCTTTAGCTCAAAATAATATGTCAAAGATGCATATTTTAGGGTGTTATGTCCTGAACTCCTTCAGTCTCTATGCTTTAACATCTCAGAAGATGCAAAGGCATGAAATATTTTTCCTCTGCCATTTACCTGTAAAGAGGGATTGAAAATAAATTAGTTACATTTAGACATGGTTATTTGAGGACTCAATTTAGCATGAATATTTTTTCTTTAAAAAAACTTTGTTCTGTAGGGAATATATAACATGAAATATATGCTTAGTGGTATTCCTATTTTATGCAGGGTGTTCATAGTGTTCCAGGTGTGTGTGTTTAGAGTCAGAAGCCTTCATTAATTTCAGTACGAGTGTTAACTATAGTTGATAGCCACAGATGAATGCGCACAGCCCAGCGTTGACTTATAGTTGACAGCCGTAGATGAATGCGCACAGCCCAGCATCGACTTTAGCTAACAGCTGTGATATGATGACGCATAGCCGAGCATCGACTTTAACGTTAATAACAAAACTTGACTTTTCTAATTTTCCATTTATCAAAATAAAATTGTGAACATTTAAAAATAACGTAATAAAAACATATATGTTACCTATTCTGATTTCATTACAAGTAAAGCTGCCTGTAAAGTAAAACAAGCTTTCAGTGCTTTAAAGCTTTCCTCACCACACAAGAGCAAAACGGATTTGTCATCAATGCACAGCACAAACTATTGTGCAGACTATGAGTGCTGGCTGTGTGAAGGTTTCACGGCCGGTGAGCGCCGTTCTGAAGAGGTTAAGCTTATCCTTGCCACTTACTGTCTGTAGGATGTTGGGCAAATTACTTAAGCTAGATTCTGTAGGATGCGCTGTTCTGAAGAGGTTAAGCTTATCCTTGCCACTTACTGTCTGTAGGATGTTGGGCAAATTACTTAAGCTAGATTCTGTAGGATGCTGTGTGGAAGAGGAAGGGGGAATAGTGTAAGCAAAGTCTCAACGTTACATATGAATAGGATGTTACAAGTATAATCAATCTTTCCCATAGTACTCAAAGTATGATCTGCTGATAGCAGTGGTGGGCCACCTTGAAGTTTATTAGAAATGTGAAAAAAAAAAAAAAAAGAAAAAAAAGAAATGTGGCGTCTCAGACTTCCACCCCAGATCTGTTGAATCAGAATTTTCATTTTAACGAAGACTGAAGATTAGAGCATTTATTTAGGGCAGCATTATGTGACTCTTGCCTGCTCATAAGAATTACCTTGGGAATTTGTAAATAGCACTGCTGCTAAGTCATCACCCTGATAAATTAAATCAGAATTGCAAGGTAGGGTCCAGGCATTGGTAGTTTTGAAAGTTTCAGAGGTGAGAAACACTAGATTAAGAACTTTAAAATGAGCAATGATGTATCATTTGCCTCTGTTTCATGTTCTTTTGCCTGATAATATAATAGGTGTCCATAAATATCTGTCAAATATATAGGATCTGTAGAGAGCTTTCTTTTTTCCATCTTTCCTAGTTTTGAGTAAAGACTGTTCTTACATCAGTCCTTCTTCCTTTGAAAATTTCTGTTCTCCGTTTAAAAGTAGGAGAAAAATATATCATAAACTTTTCAATTACTCAGAGGATTAGAAGGCAAATAAACTACTACTTAGAGACAGTGAGGTGAGCATCCTATCCAAAGCGAAACATTCTGTTGTGTAGTACTGAGATACAAGTTTGTAGAGGTCTGATTGGCCTAGGCTTAGAAGCTTGAAGTCAGTCTCTTTGCCTTGGTGTTCTATAAAGTTTCTGAGTAGAGGAGGCACATGATTAAAGCACTATTGTAGGAAAATTAATATTATTATATGCTTTGGTAACTTAAAAGAAAGTAAGATTAGAAATGGTGAGACTGTTACAGAGACTGCTACTGAAGTCTGTGTTTGAAATCATAAGAATTGTAATCCATTCTAGAATGGCTTTTGGATTTTAGAGTGAGCTAGGTAGTGGAAGTGTTTTGAGGACGTGATAATACTTGAAAGATAAAGCAGGCCAACTTGACTAGGAAAATGGCAGTATTTGCAACATAAGTTGGTAACATTTATGTAATCCCTATAGGATGCCAGCTAGTATTAGATGTTTTGACTAGTGTTATTTAGTTCTACAAGCACTATGATACCTAGTACTGTACTCATTTTTATAGATTAGAAGACCAGTTCTCAACTGATACTCCAAACTATGACTGTCTGGTGTCAAAGACCATTCTCTTTCCTTATTCCAATGCATACTATGTGATTAACCATTTTGGCTGTAATTTTGGAATCATCATTAAACCTCACATTTGTATTAGTCATCTTCACAACCTCACATCACATTATTTCTCATTATTTCAGTTACTGTTAAATGAAGCTATTTTCTGGAATATATCCTTTTTCTGTCAGTGATATTTCCTCTATATGAAAGTCCTACCCAACCTTTAACATCTAGCCCATTATTTCTTCCTATGTCTTCTGAGCTTTTTCATTCTCAATCAGTAATGATTTTTTTCTCTTCTGAAATTCTATATTTCCTGTTATGCAATTAATACTTAATACTGCCTGTATGATTTCTGGATATGAAATGCTCAACCAGTACAATCAATGGGTATAAACTCACTGATATATATTTGAAATAATATAGATATAGAAATATGTGGTAATTGGTGTAGGTAAGAAAACTGCTACTTGTTTATGCATGAAGAAATAGGAAACCAGATAATGTCTATGGATTTTAAGGACTTATGAAAATTGAGAGATTTTTCCTTTTTTGGAAGTTCTTGGCCCCAAAGAACATATGATTTGGGTTTTATTTTCCTTTGGGTTTTACAGTAGGGCAAAACAATGCAAATTAAGCTAACTATGTAATAATTTGAGTTAATTTCTTTATTCATACTTGCAAAGTGTGAATCTGGGCACATTGCAAGTTTTGATCCCTCACCTATAAAATAGGAACACTAATACATAGTATACTCACTTTTTAGCTTGTTATAAGAATCAGATTAATATAGAATCAGGTAATATAGGTAAAAACTGTAAACTGCTAAATAAATATACTAGATGCCAATGTAATTACAATGTACTTAAAAAGGACTGTATTAACTACTACATTTTTATTTAGTATTTTTTTCTTTTTTAAATTCAGCTTTCCACAGGCTACAAATCAAACATTGCTAGACAAATTTAAGCATCAACATGAAGAGAATTCTTACATCGAATTTCCAGCTGTGATGGAACCTGCTTTCATCATAAAACATTATGCTGGAAAAGTAAAATATGGGGTAAAGGTCAGTAAATTTCTCACTGGCTATGCTTTTAGGGCACAAGTGCATTCTTGATTGTGTCACTATCTCTGGCGCACTATGCTCGTAATTTGTGGAGGTTTTTTGTCAGTAATGGAGACATTTTATAAAGATACTTCTAAAATTCAGATTCTGCTTTTCAATATGTTAGTGTCTTATGTAAGGCAATATTTCTGTTGGTTTCTGCCTGCGGATAAACCTGATCTTGTCAGTTCATTCTTATAACCTTTTTAGATCTCAAAGAATAGACAGCATCTGTATGTCTGAAACTCACTTTGTTCATCTACTTAATTTATTGAATTTTTCCCTTCTCTATATACCTGTAAGTCCTGACAGAGTCTTCATGCACCATTAAGTATTTGTGAGCTTGCATTTTTAATGAATGTATTGAAACTCCTAACTCTTATGGAGGGGATATTCATTATTTTGTCCATTTCTTGGTTATTGGTGAATCTATTAGTCTTTAACCATTTGATGTTTAAGCCTACTATTTGAGGCCCTTAATTTCCCAGGCAAGGCCGTGACAATATGGAGAATAGTGGAGGAATATGTTTTCTCCTGGGTCTTGAGGTGAGTGTCTTAAGATCATTTATTAATCCATTAGCTGATTTATTTATTCAAGAAATATTTATTGTACACAGACCATATCTCAGACTTTGTGCTTGGTGTTTGGACTGATGACAAACTAGAAAGATATGTTCCTGACCATTTCTATCTACACACATATACACACACACGCATATAGATGTACATATATGTGTGTGCATCTATATACAATATATCGATAAATGGACTATGTGCCATAAATAAGTGAATGGGTTCTATGAGAGAAAGTAATGAAATAATGGATTTTGAATTTGTGGATCCTCGAATACCTAAGAAATTTAAATGTTGAGAGGTGACCTGAAATAAATGTTATGTTGGTGAGGAGTTGGGATGATGAATATTATAGACCATGAGATAAGAAAGAGTTTGATATGTTGAAATCATTGAAAACAGGTTAGTGTTACTATATTATAATGAGCAAAGGAGATAGTGATGCAAAAGGAATTTAGAGAGTGAACAGCAGGCTAATTTTTCAGGGCTTCTGGGCCAAGTCAAAGGAGTTCTGTTTTTGTTGAAATTACTATGGGGCAGTATGAAAAGACTTAAGCAGAGGATGTGACTTGTGTTTTTTAAAAGATGGCCTTGATTATTTTGAGGAAAAGGGATGGCAGTGGGTGAGAGTAGAATCTGAAAGATCAACTAAGTAGCCTTTTTTTTCTAATTGAAAATTAGTCGATATTGGGGAGATCTAGGTGATTATGAGATATTTTGGAGGTACCATCCTCAGAGTTTATTGACAATGAGTAAGTGACTTCTACCTAGAGCTGATGGGTAAATTGGAGGCACCAGGTCTTGAGATAGAAAAGACAGGAAAGAATGGATTTTAGAACAAAAATTAAAACTACAGTTTAAAAAGTAAAACAAACAAAAAATTGAGTTATAAAAAACTTGAGTATGTTGTGAGGTGTATAAAGTGCACAAATCTAAAGTGTTCAGAGTTTTTATGTTCCTCCCAGCACAGTCTCTCCTCAGAGGTAACCAATATCCTATCTTTTGTCATCCTCAATTTTACTTATTCAATTTTATATAAATCGAACCATGTAATATATACACTTGTGTCTGTGGTATTTATCCTCATTATCAGACAGATTGAAAGTAAAAGCATGGGGAAAGGATAAAAGCTGGCGTAATTATATTATTGTTGGAGAAAGTAGATTTTAAAGCCAGAAAATATTTATTAGAGATAAAAAGGGACATTTCATAATGATAAAAGGGGCCAGATCAACAGGAAGACATAATCATCAAAAGTTCTATGTATCCAGTGACTTTGATTCAAAATAATGTAATGTAAAAGGAAAGCAAAAGAAGACCTAGACAAGTCTATCTTCATAGTTGTAGATTTTAACACACCTCTTTAGTAACAAGCAGACACAAAATAAAAACAGCACTATTAAACAACTGACCTAATTGGCATATCATAAAGATAACTAGATAATCATTGAGTATTTAGAAATTAAGAAAACCTCTTCTGAGTAACCAGTGAGTCAAAAGAGAAGTCATAATATAAATTGCTTATTATAATTATAATTCATTAAAATTATATTTTATACTGAACATTAACAAAAATATAGCATATCAAAATTTTAGGATGTAGTTAAAATAAGGATTACAGGGAAATTCATAACTTTAGATGCATATATTAGAAAGGAAGAAAAGTTGAAAAGTGGTTACCTAAGCTTCTATCTCAAGAAACTAGGAAAAGAACAGCAAATCACACTGAAAGGAATTAGAGGTCTCCCCTCACACCCTCCCAGCCGTGACCCCCATGAAGATTTCTGCCTTGTTTCCTCTTTAAATCCTGTTCTCAGGAGAACAAAGCAGAATTAGGAAGGGAAAACTCTAAAGATAATAGGCTGGGTCCAAGCTGACTTATGTACACGATGATAGATGACATACTAGTTATGTTCCTCATAGAATTCTGAGTTAGAGGTTCTCTATGAAACTGTACCAACTTGGAGTGATTTACTCACCAAATTTTTAATCCTTACATTTGGTGTGAATATATTTGTAAGATTATAGTTGGTGCCTAGCCCACGCAAATCATTTTGGGCCTTTGTACCTAGGATGTAGGATTCTTGTCCTCTCCATTTTTCTGTGGTACATTCTAACCCATTTTCTTGTGTTTCATCTCCTCCAACCCCTATTCTTCGGCAGATGGTTATCCCTGCCTATTTACAGTACTACTTATTCTTATTCAGTTTTAAAAATTTGTATGCTGGTAATATCCAAATGTATTTTATGAAATCTCCCTAGGAACTCCAGACTTACATATCCATCTGCCTGCATGATGTCTATATGTAGACATAGTGTAGTTGTTATCGGTGGCTGTGTTTGGACCCCTGCTCTTCTACTTACTGTGTGATAAGGGGCCAGGATTATTCTCCTCTCTCCACCTCAGTTTCCTCATCTATAAATCTATAAAATGGAAATAATAAGATCTATCTCAAAGGATTGTTGGGGGATTAAATGAGACCATACATGTAAAATGCTTAGAAGAGTCGCAGGTACATAGTAACCTTTCAATAAATGTTATCTACTGTTATTATTATCCTCATTGTTCCAAACTTCACTTGGATAAAACAGATCTCTTGATTCTCATTTTCTATCCCCAAACCTTTTCTCTAGTCTCCTCTATATCAGTATATGACATTGCCATTCACTTAGTTACTCAGCCTCAAAATATGTTAACCTAATTTCCTAATTCTCTTACTACACCCTCATCCATCAGCAAGTTTTTTGCCTTTACCTCCAAAACATGTTCCAAATATGATAACTATTTTGTTTCTACTATTACCACCAATCTAGTCCAAGTCACTGTCAGCTCTTATATGGTTTATTATAATATTTAGTCTCGTTGTTTTCATTCTTTCTCTGTATAATTCATTTCCTATGCAGCAGCCAATGCTATTCATATAAAACATCAATTGGCTCATGACATTACTCTTCCAGGGCTTTCCTTTACACTTGAATAAAACCCAAACTCTTAACTCAGGCGTAAAGAGCCTAAATAGCCTATTTATTTACCTAATCTTCTACCACTCTCACCCTTGCCCCTGGTTTTATTGCTTTTCTCCTAACTCGTCCAACTCATCACCACCTAGGTGTTCTCTTTGCTTAGAATGTTCTTCCCAGTTTTCTCATGTCTGACTCCTTTTTATTATTCAGCTCTCTTATCATTTTATGGGATACCCCTTTGGAGAGGCTGTCCCTGACCAGTGTTTAACATGCTACAGTAAAATTATAGAGTATTTATTATAATTTACATGTATTATAGAATTTAATAGTTTTAGGATTGGTTGAGACTTTATAGAACATATCTGGTCCAATTAACTACCCAGAACAAAAATCACTTCTGTTATCTTTCTTCAACCACTGTTCAAATATGTCACCCATCATCTTGATTTTAATAATTTTTGTTTCAAAAATAACACAGTACTTTTTCCATGTAGGATTTCCGGGAAAAAAATACAGATCATATGCGCCCAGACATTGTAGCTCTTCTGAGAAGTAGCAAGAATGCATTTATCTCTGGGATGATTGGAATTGATCCTGTAGCTGTTTTCCGATGGGCAGTTCTCCGAGCTTTTTTCAGAGCTATGGTTGCTTTCAGGGAGGCCGGGAAAAGACACATTCACAGAAAAACTGGTAAGCTATAGTTACTCTACCTTCTTCTTTTACTTTATATTTCTCTACTACCTCACAAGAAGTAGAGTCATAATGATAATTTTTATTTTGTTCTGTTTTCTTACCATACCCTAGCATCATGTTTCAGATCTAATGAGTGATTAAATGTGCATATGTTATATATGTATAACTATGTGTTGGTACATTTTTATTAATAAATACTGATAGGAATAATGAGTGTAAAACACTAGGTATTTAGTAGGCAGTTAGTAAGTCATCAGTATATTCTTGAACAAAATTGAATTCATATGATCATTTAATGATTTAGAATTTAATCTTGATACTTTTCTCTGTTTCTTCCTATGCCATACTTTTTACTACAAGTGAAACATAATTTAATGTGAAAGTATAAATTAGAAGAAATAAAAATTGGGATGGAGGTAGTATAATATAGTGGAAAGATTCCTACTTCTGTAATTACTCCAGTGTCATCTCTTCTTTTGACTAATTTTGTGACTATGCGCAGTTTTTCTTTCCATAAAAGAGAGTTAATACATTATGAGGATAAAGTCAGATAATATATGTAAAACATCTGTTTATAAAATGTTCATTTCTTTTCCTCTTACCCTTAACTCAATTAATTGGATTTTACTTTGAAATTTAGAAATGGAATCCTAGCATTCTGGGAGGCCGAGGCAGGAAGCTCGATCAAGGTCAGGAGTTCGAAACCAGCCAGAGCAAGAGTGAGACCCTGTCTCTACTAAAATAGAAAGAAATTAATTGGCCAACTAAAAATATATGGAGAAAAAATTAGCCGGGCATGGTGGCATATGCCTGTAGTCCCAGCTACTCAGGAGGCTGAGGCAGAAAGATTGCTGAGCCCAGGAGTTTGAGGTTGCTGTGAGCCAGGCTGATGTGACGCCATGGCACTCTAATCTGGGCAACAGAGTGAGACTCTGTCTCAGGAAAAAAAAAAAAAAAAAAAAAAATAAAGCAGGATACTTTTTCTATGTGCCGCTGCCTTAAATCATAAAATCTCTCATCTCACATCCTATGGAAAGGCAACCTCATAAGCACTTTTGGCCTGCTGGAAACCATACTGTTGTTTGCTGTAGCTCTAGTCCTGGGTTGGCTGTTGCTGGATAGTGAGGATTTTCTGATATAAATATGCAGTTGAGATTTATGCCCTGCAGTAGACGTGTGAAGGACTTCACCTGTGCTTTCAGGACTCCCAGACTGACTTATGTGGCTTTTTAGGATATATATTAGCAGTAAAACTTTAAATCAACTTTTAAAATATTTGAAATGAATAAAATATTTGGAAGATTATATTTCTAAAATGAAAGACAAATAATTGAACTTAGTTTCTGTTTTTAGATTGTAATGTATGTGAATTGGTCTTTGTAGATAGGGAGAATTATAGTTTATTGGAGAAATAAAGGACTATCTCAAACCTGCTTTGCCTTTTTTTTTTTTTTTTTTTTGGTGACAAAGTCTCGCTTTGCTGCCCAGGCTAGAGTGAGTGCTGTGGCATCAGCCTAGCTCACAGCAACCTCCATCTCCTGGGCTCAAGCGATCCTACTGCCTCAGCCTCCCGAGTAGCTGGGACTACATGCATGCGCCACCATGCCTGGCTAATTTTTGTATATATATTTTAGTTGATCAATTAATTTCTTTCTATTTTTGGTAGAGACGGGGTCTCCTCATGCTGGTTTGAGCACCATGCCTGGCTGCTTTGCCTTTAAAAATGATTTTTAAGGGGTTATCTTTATTAAAAGCTTTAAGGAAAGTTTTTTTTTTTTTTTTTTTTTAGAGTGCTTGCTTATTTATTATGACAAACTTTTTTTTTAAATTTTGGACAAGATCTTGTTCTGTCACCCAGGTTAGAGTTATAAACTGCCTAGCCGAGTGTTGGTGTGCCTCAACTCACATATGTTGACCCTTGACAAGCCTGGGAGACTTAATCGGTTTTAGACATGTAAGGATAGCTCTGTCCAATCATTAGCTGACCACTAAGATAGCTAAGCAGAAACTGTGATGGTCATGTGTGACAAACAATATAATGTTTACAGAATTAGTTCAGGAATTAAAAAAAAAAAAAAAAAAACTAAAGAAACAGCGACAACAGCAAACCGCCGATGAGGAAGAATCTGATTTCCAGAGTTACATGTTACATTCTTTAACACAATTAATTTTGTTTAACACAAATTATGAGATATAGTAAGAAATAAAAAAATATGACCTGTACAGAGTGGAAAAGAAAAAACCAAACATGAAAAACTGTCCCTTGTGAAATCCAGATGTTGAACTTACTGAAGACTTTAAGCTATTTTAAATATGTTTAAATACAACCATGTCTGAGGACTAAAGCAAAATATGGAATATCAATAAAGAGATAAAAATTACATAAGTATTTAAATATTTATGTTAATGCATAGTTAAATTGCAAAGATAGTATAAATGTGTCTTTTACATTTTATAATTCTTTATTTCCCGCTTATATGATTTGAAAGTAAGTACAATTATTGAAGTGAAAATTCACTAGAGGAATTTAACAGCAGATTTGGAGAGGCAGAAGAAAGAATCAGTGAACTTGAAGACAGATCAATTGATATTACCAGCTTGAAGAACAGAAGAAAAAAGAATGAAGAAAAGTGAACAGAGCCTCAAAGATCTGTTGGACACCATCAAGCATACCAAGGGCAGAAACAGTATTTAAAAGATAATGGCCATAAACTCCTAAATTTGGTTAAAGAAAATTAATCTACACATCCAAGAAGCTCAGTAGACTGAGCTTGGGGAGGCTCAAGGAGGGTTGATTTAAACAAATCCAAACTTGAATACCATCATTAACTATCCAAACACAGAGATATTGAAAGTGGGCAAGAGAATTCATCATTGTACAGGTAAATAAGATAACAGTTGATTTATGATCAGAAACCATTGGACTAGAAAGTTTTAGGATGACATTTGAAGTGCTGTAAAGAAAAAAGATTGCCAATTAAGAAGTCTGTATTCAACATAACTATCTTTCAGAATGATGGTGAAATTAAGACATTCCCAGTTAGAATAATAAAAAATCCTGAGTGATTTATTACTAGCAGACCTGCCCCACACAAGAAATACCAAAAATGAGTTCTTACGGTTGAAATGAAAGCATACTAGACAATAACTTGAATGTATTTAATATGTGAAGAAAGAGAGAGCACCAAAACTGGCAACTACAAAAAGGCAGTACAGAAGTATTTTTTATACTTTCTACCTCTTTTTTTCTCCCAATCTGATTTGAAAGACAATTGTATAAAGCAGTAATTTTAATTCTTTGTTGATGGCCCATGCTGTTTTTTTTTTTTTTTTTTTTTTTGATGACCAGTAGCCACTTGTTGCCAGGCTAGAGGGAGTGCCGTGGCGTCAAGCCTAGCTCACAGCACACCTCCAAAAATCCCCTGGGTGACTCAGTGATCCTTCTTCTCACCTCCGATAGCTGGCCGAACCAGGCACAGTAGTGCCCACTATGGCCACCGGCTAATTTTATATATATGTATATCAGTTGGCCAATAATTTCTTTCTGTTTATAGTAAGGAGAAGAGCGGGGTCTCGCTCTTTGCTCAGGCTGGTTGTTGAACTCCTGAACCTTGAAGCAATCCCGCCCGCTCGCCTCCCAAGGACTAGGAATACAGTGCGTGAGCCACAGCGCCGGTGGCCATGGCTGTTTTTAAAAGATGTAGTTTATATGACAATTAGTAGCATAAAGGAGGTAAGGAGGGATTGAGCTATATAGATAAGGACATGTTTTCTATGTACTATTGAATAAGTTGTTTTTTAGCCGTCCAGTCTCACATTGCGTAATTGGTTAATTATAATTACCTTGTTAATGATTAAGAAAATATATAAACCATAATCCAAAATAGTTAGAAGAAAGTATCTATTCAATATGATGGAAGGCAGAAATAAAAGAATAGGGAATAAAGAATGTCCTAATAATAGTGGATAATTAAACAACATACTTCCAAAATAACCAATATCCAAGAAAATCACAAGGGATATAGAAAATACTTTGGATGAATTAAGGCAAAAAACAAACAAATACACCAAAATTAATGAGATGCAGATAAAGCATGTTTAGGGGGAAATTTGACCTTTAAATACCTGTATTAAAAAAGAAGAAATATTGGCCGAGTGGGTGGGCTCACACCTGTTAAATCCCTAGCACTCCTGAGAGGCTGAGGTGGGCGGAATCGCTCAAGGTCAGGAGTTCCAAAACCAGCCCTGAGCAACAGAAAGAGATTCGTCTCTACCTAAAATAGAAAGAAATGTAATTGGCCAACTAAAAGTATATAGAAAAAATTAGCCGGGC